TGAACGGAAGATCTTCTATCAGCTATAGTGAAGTGACTAACGCATTGACCAATTATGATTTGAGGAGGAAGGACAAGGAGACTTCCCGTGCTAGCACTTCAGGCGAGGCCTTGTCGATGAGAGGTAGAAGCCCATATCCGAAATGTGGTAATAGAGGAAGGTCAAAGTCTAGAGGCCACCACCAATTAGCAAAGAACCAATGTGCATTCTGCAAGGAGCAAGGACATTGGAAGAGAGATTGTCCGAAGCTCAAGGAGAAGGAGAATGGCAAGAAAAAGGGCCCAAAGGCCAATGATGTGAATATTACGAAAGGCGATGATTCCGATGATTCGTGCTTTTCTCTACTAATTACTCCGGAGGTGAACCATGTGGATGCATCAGATTGGATACTTGATTCTGGCGCTACCTATCATGTGACCCCTAGGCGAGATTCGTTTGCATCTTTTGAGAAAGTCGACGGGGGTGTTGTTGTCATGGAAAATGATCAATCATGTGGCGTTTGTGGGATAGGTACCGTACGGATTAGGATGCACGATAGAGTAGTCTATGAGTTAAAGGAGGTGAGATTTGTTCCTCAACTGAAGAAAAATCTTATCTCAGTTGGAGCTTTGGAGGCGAAGGGATTCAAGGTGACTCTCGAAAACGCTGTAGCGAAGGTTACTAAGGGATCATTGGTGGTGATGAAGGGAGTTCGCAATCGAAATTTGTATTATCTGAAGGGAAGCACCGAGATTGGCTAGGTTGCTTCGGCTATTTCAGAAGCGGACATGAGCAGACTTTGGCACTATAGGTTGGGGCACACAGGTGAAAAGTCACTACAAGCATTGTGCAAGCAGGGGCTATTGAAGGGAGCCAAGAGTGGGAAGATTGAGTTCTATGAGCATTGTGTTCTTGGCAAGAAGATGAAGGTGAAGTTCGGAACTGTCATTCATCAGACGAGGGGCATTCTGGACTACGTGCACACAGACGTTTGGGGTCCCACCAAGACTACATCACTTGGTGGTAGACATTGGTTCGTTACTTTTGTAGATGACTATTCTAGACGTTGTTGGGTGTACACCATGATGAAGAAGAGTGAAGTCCTAGATATATTCGTGGAGTGGAAGAAGAGATTGGAATTGCAGACTGGGAGAAAGATCAAGACGTTGAGATCCGATAACGGTGGTGAATATACTTCTGACCCCTTTCAGCAGCTATGTCGAGACGAGGGCATAGAGAGACACTTCACAGTTAGTCATACACCGCAGCAAAATGGGGTGATAGAGAGGTTGAATCGGTCTTTACTAGAGAAGATCCGATGCTTATTGTCGCAGAGTAGTTTGGAGAAGATCTTTTGGGCTGAGGCACTTACATATGTGAGCCACCTCATTAATAGGCTGCCTTCATCTGCGATTGAGGGGAAGACCCTTATGGAGAAGTGGTCGGGAGAGCCAGCACACGATTATGACCAGCTTAAGGTATTCGGGTGCCCTGTATTTTATCATGTGAGAACTGATAAGTTGGAACCTCGAGCTAGGAAGGCCATATTTGTAGGATTCAAGCGGGGTGTCAAGGGATACAAGCTTTGGGATCCAGTTGATAAGAAGATTGTACTGAGTAGGGATGTCACGTTTGATGAGGCTTCTATCTTGAAGCTTCCCAGCTCTCATCAGGTGGAGAGCGACCCGACGAAAGAGATATCACAGGTGGTGGAGATCGATGCAGCTCCACATTGTCCAGATGGTGCAGTATCCATTAGAGTGCCGACTGAGGTGACGCGAGACGAGCACGACGGTGACACGGAGGATACGGGTACTGATGTACATGATCAGGGACCGACGGCTCAGGTTCAGGATTCGATTGCGGTTCGGAGACAGAGGAGAAACATACAGATGCCAGCACGGTATGCCGACACAGTTGCGTATGCACTTCTGGTGGAGAGTATCGATGAGTTGGTACCTATCACATTCAGAGAGGCCGAACAGAGTTCGGAGGCTGATTCGTGGCAGGTGGCTATGCAGGAGGAGATGGAATCTCTTCATAAGAACGATACATGGGAGCTTGTTGAGCTTCCAAAGGGGCGGAAGGCAACTGGTTGTAAGTGGGTATACACGAAGAATGAGGGTATTGAGGGCACTCCATTGAGATTTAAAGCTCGGTTGGTTGCGAAGGGCTATGTACAGGAGGAAGGTATTGACTATAATGAGGTTTTCTCTCCGGTGGTGAAGCATTCTTTGATTCAGATTTTGCTAGCTTTGGTGGCACGGTATGGTTTGGAGTTAGATCAGTTGAATGTAAAGACGGTATTTCTTCATGGTGATCTTGATGAAGAAATATATATGATTCAGCCATTGGGATTCCGAGTTGCAGGAAAAGATAAGTTGGTTTGCAGATTAAAGAAATCGCTATACGGTTTGAAGCAGTCTCCTCGACAGTGGTATAGGCGATTTGATGGTTTTATGCTTGGTCATTCGTACACTCGGAGCCAGTTTGATCCTTGCGTGTATTTCGCAAGTTAAAAGGAGGTGCGTACATCTATTTGTTACTTTATGTCGATGACATGTTGGTTTCCTCTACTTCCAGGTCGGCTATAGATGAGTTGAAAGTTCGGCTTTCAAATGAGTTTGAGATGAAGGACTTGGGTGAGGCCAAACGCATTCTAGGGATGGAGATCGGCAGAGACAAGAAGAAGGGCAGAATTTGTTTGACACAGGTGGCTTATTTAAAGAAGGTTCTACAGCGATTCCATGTTAGTATGGATACAAAGCCAGTTAGTGTACCATTGGGAGCCCATTTGAAGCTTTCAGCTGGTCTTTCACCAAAGTCAGTTGAAGATCGTGAGTTGATGTCGAAGACTCCATATGCGAGCGTGGTTGGGAGCTTGATGTACGCGATGGTATGTACGAGGCCAGATTTGTCACAGGCGGTGAGCATGGTTTCAAGATACATGCACGATCCAGGAGTGGGTCATTGGGACGTCGTGAGATGGATTTTGAGGTACATTCGAGGTACGCTCAATGTTGGTTTGGTTTATGAGCGGGACACTATAGGTGGGAAGCTATGCATCAGTTATGTTGATTCGGATTATGCCGGGGATTTGGATAAACGCCGGTCTACTACGGGGTATGTGTTCACTTTGATCCGTGCGCCGGTGTGTTGGAAATGCACCTTACAGTCGACGGTGGCTTTGTTTACGACGGAGGCAGAGTATATGGCAGTTACGGAGGCTGTGAAGGAGGCTATTTGGCTTCGAGGACTTTTGGAGGAACTTGGTATATCACAGAGGTTCGTCACTATTCATTGTGATAGCATGAGTGCTATCTATTTAGCGAAGAATCAGGTTTTTCATGCGAGAACGAAGCACATTGACGTTCGTTATCACTTCGTTCGGGATGTTCTTGAAGATGGCGATGTGGAGATTGTGAAGGTCCACATGAAGGATAATCCGACGGATATGCTCACTAAGGTGGTTCCGAGCAACAAGTTTGATCATTGTATAAGCTTGTTGCATATTCGTGATTGTTGAGGCTGTTGGCGGCCATTTGGGTGAACTACGTTCGGCTTGATTCCTTAGGCAAGAAGATACGTAGGCAGTCTTTCAGATGCAGCTGATTTGGATTAGTTAATTTTGATGGAGGGGTGAGATTGTTTAGACTCTCGTTCGGGTTCTCGACTTGTTGTGGATTGCGTTCATACTGATCACAACAAGTGGGACATTTGGTTGCTTTGGTGTCGCGTCAGTTTTGAAAAAAAAACTTCACCGAGGTGGAGAATTGTGAATGAACGGAGGTGGTGGACCACACACCACGTGATTGCAAGGGTCTCATCCACGTTCACGCGGTTTTCACAATTCCGCGTGATTGCAAAATTCGTGGGGGCCACAAGTGAGCGCAGGAGGTTAATGCCGCGTGAAGTGATGTTCACAAGCCCACGAACCCGATTGTGATTGTTGCCATATATAAATAATTTGTCACCTAGGTTTTGAGGGGTGCGAAGGAGGTTTGGTGCAAAGTTTTGCGGCTACAGACAAAAATCAATTGCGACTGCGGAGAAAAAGAAAAACGCAGAAGCATGAGGAGTTTTGAGCAGCCGTCAAGAGGGTTCTAAGCATCTTTTGTAGAGAGAGTTTGTGTGAGAGGTTTGAGAGTTTTGTGTGAGGGTTTTATTTGTGAGATTCTTGTGTAAATCCTATTTGTATTCTCTCTTCCTCTAATAGTAGATCTCCCCCTCCTTGCCCCGTGGACGTAGGCAATTTGCCGAATCACGTAAAATTGGTTGTCTCACTATTTGTGTGATTTGTAATAGCTTTTAGGTTCCCTCGACGCGCAGTCCTAGAGCTGACGAGAGGAAGAGCTAATATCCCACTTTGATGAGATATTAGGCTTACACACGGGGGGGGATTGCTAACTTCTGATATATGTCGCACAAACATTTAAATCACAAAGTTCTGTATGAAATTCTTACATTCTGTATCTTGTAGAATTTTCTGTCTGACAGTGAAATGTTCATATTAGTGCATCCGTCGTCATGCAACATAGCTTCTAAGCATACAGGTCCAAAACAAATATTCAATACTCACAGTTGGAATCTTGAGATAGCCGCTTGGAGCAAGACGAGACTGCAGTTGTCATTTTTACGTCATAAATTAGCGAACAGACCGCAAACATCTAGCAACAGAAAATAATTGGATTCAAAGACGTTATTTAAGGTACGTAGTCAAAATGGAAACACGTACCTGCACATAATCGGAGTAAATTTCTGACTTGATGAGAGCGTCTGCAAGCATGCAAAAGATTCACGTCTGCAGTGGAAGAGGTAGGGGAGGAATATTAGCCTCACAATACGTAGTACACAAAAGCTTAATTTTATATCAAAACAGACCTAGCATTCCTTTTTTTGGTCAATGAAAAACTTTTATTCATTTACCAAAATGTGAAAAATATGTACAACAAGATAATCAGCTCAAAAGAACTAAAAAAACAAAACAGGATCAGTCAAACAATTATATACAAGAGAGAGTTTCAAAGAGACATTATCCACTGCTTGTTGTCCTCTGAGAATGAACCATTGAGAGTAGTGATCAATATTGCCTCTTTAACATCCCTGGTAACCTGATCAATATTTCTGGATTTCAGATTGAAAATCCTATTGTTTCTTTCTTTCCAAATGCAGTAAATAGAAGCTGTCAACGCCAATCTTTTCACACTTTGCTTGAAGCCTCTTCCCTAGACTTTTGCTAAACCACTCCAAAATGATATCCCAATTACAAGTCTTCCATCTGAATTGAAGCCAATCCAAGATGTTATTCCATAGACCACATGAGAAGTAACATTCAAAGAAAAGATGGCTACGAGATTCCTGAGCTGAAGAGCATAAGCAACATTGTCCAGATTGAATAATGCCTCTCCTAAGTAGTCTATCTTTGCTTTGCAATCTGTTAAGAACCGCTAACCAAAAGATAAAACTATGCTTAGGGTAGTTGTTTGAATCCCAAACTGTCATAAACCAAGGCATTTTGCTGGATACAAGGGAGATGGCTGAGTATAGTTTGGATAGCTGGATTTTAGAATTCTTGCAACATGAGCTAATACACTGTTTCAGATTATCAATTCCTCCACAAATAATGATTTCTTTATCCCTGACCTTGAGTAACTGCTTCCACATCCAAGAATCACTTGATTTCATGTTAACTTGCCATATTGTAGAATTTTTCAAGAGTAACTGCTTCCACATCCAAGAATCACTTGATTTCATGTTAACTTGCCATATTGTAGAATTTTTCAAATAATTGGCATGAATCCATTTAATCCATAGCCACTCTTTGTTAATATGAATATACCATATTAACTTGAGGCCAGAGGCAATGTTCCATGTAGCTGTAGAAAAAATGCCTAAACCTCCATACTTTTTCTCCTTGCATATTTTTTCCCAGGCAACAAGGGGGGTTTTGAAAACCTGGTCAGTTTTTCCCCAAAGGAAATCCCTGCATAAGACATCAATTTTATGAAGAACCTTTGCTGGCAATATGTAGTTAGAGGTCCGGTATAGTTGGACACCCAAAATTACACTCTTGATGACTTGGAGTCTCCTTGCATATGACAATTTCTGAAACTTCAACCAAGTCTGAAACTGACTCGTAATTTTTCTAAAAAGTGGGAAGCAATCAATATATGATAGTCTCTTGCATATCAAATGAACTCCAAGATATTTTATTGGCAGTGTCCCTTCCTGAAAACCCAAGCAACTATTAATGGAGCTCTTAATATGATCATCAACACCTCCAAAAAAGATAACACATTTAGAGGGGTTGGCTTCCAAACCAGTTATGGCACCAAAATCTCTAACACAGTGATAAAGCTTTTGAACTGAATATAAATCTCCTCTACAGAACAGAAGGAGATCATCAGCAAATGCAAGATGTGTAATTTTAAGCTTCCCACATTTAGGGTGAAATTTAAAATCCCTATCTTGTTTCTGTTGGAAGCTTTATTCATGAAAAGGCAATTTTGCCTTTGTGAATAGTCCCACATCGAAAAATGAGATGAATAGTAAAGGGTATATATTGGTTCTCTCCTTATTGGGCTTTGAATAGTATTTTGGGTTTTGTGGGCCTTGCATTTCTACCACACACGCGCGCGCGCACGCACGCCACGCCTCGCCCGTACGCGCCACGCCGCAGGAAGCATTAACCGTGCGTAACGGTCCCTTGGATTCAGCGGGGGTTACACCTTTCATCACCTATAAAAGGAGGCTTGGAGCTCATTCAGAATCACACCAACGAAGAGGAAAATCTCTACACTCTCTTCTCTTCTCTACTCTTATACCTCCAAGAAAAGATTTCGGCTACATATTTACATATTCTATTTTCTGGGCAACTGTTTTCGTCTGAGCATAAGCTCTGTGTCTCACGCCCGAGTGCAGAGGCCGGCCGATTCCGGGGGTTTTTACCGCTAGGGGAGAGAGGACAAATTGCGCCAGGGTGATAGGCGGGTCCTTAATCTTCTAGGGCAGTGATATCACGACTGCTCCCAATCAGGCCTGAATTTTCTAACTTTTAAATTTGTTTTAAATTTTTTATATCTCTGTTTTGACAGCAATCTAGAAGATTAAAAATTCTTGCTGTTAAGTTAATTAGTAAATAAAAAAAATAAAAAATTAAAAAATTTTATTACTGTTCATCGGGATTACTGTTCACCCGAATTTTATATATTAATAATTTCTTGTTGTATTAGTTAATTGTTTTAATTTGTTGCATCTAAATTAGCTATAAAATAAAAAATAAAAAAAATCTTTGTAGCTTCTATACTCAATTTCTGCACCTGTCAATTTTCATAGTAAATAAACAAAAAATCTTTAAGTGAATCGGTTCAAGTTTTCTTGGATTAGTTGGTGTCTAAGGAAAGGTTTAAGGGTTGCGTAAAGCGCTCTGCAAGAAACGAGGTACTTAATAGATCTTTGATCAACCTCTAGTACTATCCTTACCTGGCCAAACTACCCGAGTAAAACTTTAATCTTTTCACTTTTAGAGTTTTTGGTTAAAAGCAGGTTTAATTAAGTTTCTGGTCTAGTAATATTGACAAAATCCTTTTTATATCAGATTACATCTACCTAGACTAGTAAACTTGAATTGGACTTATGGCAATTCCTGATCATTCAAAAAGTGTCAAACCTGAGAAGTTCACCGGTGTTAACTATAAACGGTGGGCTAATCAGATGAAATACTGGCTTACTACCTTAGGTCTTTTATCTGCTATTGACACTTCTGAGTCATCTACTAGTGGTTCTCAACCTTTGACTCCTGATCCTGCTCAACCTGCTCCTTCCACTTCTGGTTCTGGTGCTAGCTCCTTTTCTAGCTCTATGAAACCAGAAGAAATCAACTATCATTGTTGTCATAGGATTCTTAGTGCACTTGCGGACAACCTTTATGACATATATTATGAGTTCAAAAGTGCAAAAGAACTATGGAATGCTCTTGAAGCAGAATATGGCTATGATGATGCCGGAATTCTGCGTTTCACCTCCTCCTCATTCAATAAGTTCACACCTCCTGGTCTAGATTTGCTGGGGATCTTCGACACAAGCAAGGAGATTTAACATTAACTGAAGCCCTCAAGGCTATTCGTATTGAAGACCAGCATAGGCAAAATTCCAATACCAAGAATGAAACAAAAGCTAAAGTAAACTTGGTAGAGGATAAGCCTAAATCTAAGAATTTCAAACCCAAAGGGAAGAAATTTAAGAAAAATCAACAATCTTTCAATAAATCTTTCAACAAATCCTCTTTCAAACCAAATCCCAATTCTTCCAGCTATAAGTCTGATGAGAAGTTCTGCTTTGTCTGTGGTAGAACCAACCACATGGCTCACAACTGTTTCTTTCGGAAGAAGGAACCGGCCAAACCTGCCCCTAAAGGAAATGGATCCAACAAAGTTAATATGATTGAAATGAATCCAACCTCCTTCAGGTTAGCCTCTTCATCTCATCTTGTAAATTCTCTAACTTCTTCCACTGATTGGTATTTGGATTCCGGAGCAAATATCCACGTCTGTAATGACCGCTCTTGGTTTTCAAATTATCAGGAATCACGTGGAGGAAGCATAAGCTTAGCAGATGACTCCACTAAATCAATAATAGGAAGTGGACGTATAGAGCTCACCATGACTTCTGGGAAAGTTCTTCATCTGCAAGGCGTTTATCATGTTCCTTCTCTCCGTCGCAATTTGATTAGTGAATCTCTTCTTCTTAGAGCTGATTATAGGATTGTAAAAGAATCCAATAAATTTGTGATTACAAAGAGTAATGTTTTCATAGGAAAAGGTTTTATCTGTAATGGCCTTTTCAAACTCAATGTAATCAATTCCAGTTCTAATGAAATTTATGAGTCTTCTGTTATTCAAATTGTTGAGTCTTGTGATGTTTGGCATGGACGACTTGGACATGTCAATTTCCAAACCTTGCAGAGAATGAGTAAATTAAACCTCATTCCTAAATCTTCTCATAATCCCTCATCTAAATGTGAAATTTGTGTTCAAGGGAAACACACTAAAAAACCCTTCAAGTCTATAACTAGAAACTCTGAACCCCTCGAATTAATTCATAGTGATGTGTGTGACTCTAACCGAGTTATCACCCGAGGGGGTAGGAGATATTTTGTGACTTTTATAGACGATCACTCCAGATATTGTTACACCTATCTTCTCAAAACTAAAGATGAAGTCTTAGATAGGTTTAAGGTGTTCAAAGCTGAATCTGAGAACCAACTTGACAGGAAGATCAAGATTCTAAGATCTGATCGTGGGGGGGAGTATACCTCAAATCATATGACTGAATATTGCCAAGAACACGGTATTATTCATGAGGTTACTGCTCCCTATACACCACAGTCTAACGGGGTAGCTGAACGAAAGAATAGAACCCTAATGGACATGGTGAACTGTATGTTACTCAGTTCAGGAGCACCTGAAAATCTCTGGGGTGAAGCTCTTCTTTCTGCTTGCTTCATTCTCAATAGGATTCCCCAGAAAAATTCCGATACAACTCCTTATGAATATTGGAAGGGGAGATCTCCTAATCTGAATTTCTTCCGGGTTTGGGGTTGCTTGGCTAAAGTAGCTATTCCTGAACCTAAGAAGAGGAAAATTGGTTCTAAGACTGTAGATGCTGCTTTTATTGGATATGCACTAGATAGCAATGTTAATAGATTTCTAGTCATCAAATCTGAAATTAGTGATATATCCAACAATACCATCATTTTTTTTTTTTGACAAAAGAAACAGAGCTTGAAGCCCTGTTCATGTATATTTATATATTCATGAAAGTATAAGAGGTAACATTTACAGTAAGAGAGTGTGGTGAAGAGAGGGGGAACATTGGAAGATGTGTGCTACCAGGAGAGGGCCTTGCCGTCACTGGTAAGTACAAATCTTCAATGTTCCCTCCCCCATACCAGCATCAAAACAACAAAAAGGAAATCCAAAAGACAGAGTTAAGAGCTGATACAGGTCAAAGAAAACAGCAACAAAAGAGTACAAAGAACAAAATGAACCCTTGGGGAGGCTAACTGTTGGCTAGCTGAAGGGAGGATGGGAATCATGCAAGCCTGTTGCTGTCTTCGCTAGATTCCAGGATCTCAGGGAGGTCCGATGAATGGAGGATATTCTTCAGTTTAGAGGCCTTCTTGGAGGCAGATGCACCTGTCCAGAAAAGAAGATAGTTAACTGATTTGTTGATGATATGCTGAGGGGAGCTGCTCAAGTTGGAGAAGGTGCAAACACAACAATACCATCATTGAAGCAAGAGATGCAGTCTATTTTGAAAACATCTTTCCTTTCAAATCTAAAATCTCAGAAAATCCCAGATCATCCATTCCTTCTGATCTTCCATCTTCCAGTTCTTCTCAAACTCTTGATATTGAACCTCGAAGAAGCAAAAGAGGTAGAATCGAAAAGGATTTTGGAGAAGATTTCCTTACCTTTCTTGTTGAAGGTGATCCAAGCTCATTCCAAGAAGCAATGGATTCACCTGAATCTCCTTTCTGGAAAGAAGCCATTGATAATAAAATTAAATCTATCATGGAAAACCATACTTGGATACTCACCGACTTACCTCCAGGTTGTAAACCTATTGGTTGTAAGTGGATATTCAAGAAGAAACTCAGAGCTGATGGTTTCATAGATAAATTTAAAGCTAGATTAGTAGCTAAAGGCTTTACTCAACAAAAGGGCATTGATTATTTTGATACATATTCTCCTGTAGCCCGAATATCAACTATCCGAGTATTACTAGCCTTTGCTGCTATCCATAAGCTTATCATACATCAGATGGATGTCAAGACTGCTTTCCTGAATGGTGATTTAGATGAAGAAATCTATATGCACCAACCTGAAGGCCTCATTGCCAAGGGTCAGGAAAACAAAGTCTGTAAGCTTGTTAAATCTTTGTATGGTCTTAAACAAGCTCCTAAATAATGGCACCAGAAATTTGACAACGTCATTGCACAATATGGCTTCACAGTGAATGAATACGATAAATGTGTCTATTCTAAAGTGATAAACAATGACTATGTCATTCTCTGTCTCTATGTTGATGATATCCTTATCTTTGGAACAACACTTGAATTAATTTCAAAGGTTAAGGATTATCTTTCCAAAAACTTTGATATGAAAGACTTAGGTCTTGCAGACATGATACTTGGAATGAAAATCTCTAGAGACACTAGAGGAATATCTTTGAGTCTTTCCCATAGCATTGATAAAATGCTAATCAAATTCAACTTTCATAACTCTAAACCTGTTTCCACACCTTATGATTCTTCTATACCCTTGAAGAAGAATGAAGGTGAACCTGTCTCCCAGCTGAAATATTCTCAGATGATTGGATCTCTTCTTTACATATCCAACCGAACCAGACCTGATATAGCTTATGCTGTAGGGAGACTGAGTCGGTATACTAGCAACCCTAGCAAAGATCATTGGTCTGCCTTAGAAAGAGTATTCAAATATCTAAAAGGCACAATTGACTATTGCTTGACTTACACTGGTTACCCTGATGCTATAGAAGGGTATAGTGACGCCAATTGGGTCACGGATTCCAACAGTGTAAAGTCTACATCTGGATATGTATTTCTTTTTGGTGGTGCTGCTGTATCCTGGAAATCATGTAAGCAAACAATAATTGCCAGGAGCACCATGGAATCTGAGCTAATTGCTCTTGATACTACTTGCACAGAAGCCGAATGGTTAAAAGATCTTCTATCTGAACTTCCTTTGGTCCCTAAACCCTCTCCTCCTATTTCCATTCACTCTGATTCTAGATCTACCATAGAGCTTCTAAAGCAAGTACATGTAAATAAAAAACATAACAGACATATTCAAATAAGATATAAGTCTGTACAACGCCTATTAGGCAAAGTTGTGATCTTGGACTTTGTAAAGTCTGAGAAAAATCTTGCTGACCCTTTGACTAAGGGATTATCCAGGAGTGTGGTTCTGGATTCATCGAGGGAGATGGGGTTAAGCCCATAAATGAGGTCACTGACAGCGGCAACCCAACCCTTATTTGGAGACGTAGTCCCAATGTCGGTTCAATGTGGTAGAAACAAGCTGGACAAGTGACTCTCGTGTGGAGCATCGACCTAGATATATTTATATATCATTATGTAGCATTTGCTACTACCCCTTCTCTATGGTGACGATGCTCTTATGATACAGCTGGCTAGGCTGAGTTTTACTCTTAATAAGTCCAACGCGTGTATTGTGGGGGGTATTAAATAAACAGCTGTAGTACCCTTTGAGGACTTACCTACGTGAGAGGAACCGTGATGGCCGCGGTTGGGGGGGACAGGGCTGACCCCTAGAAACTCTCATGAGTCGGTTTTTTGTGAGCATGGCCTTTAACGCTCAACCCGCTTAGCTCAATAGATGAAAACGTATTGTGTGTGTTTTTATCAATACCTGATCCAAGGGGCCTAATTCAAGGCCTAGTCCATTATGTCTATCAGGTGGCGATGAACTCACTAAGGAAAGGTTCAAAGCCGAAAGCTACCTTTCCCGAATTCACGATACGACAGGTTGCCCAACCTATATTTATTCTGTGATTTATTTATTGATTTATTATTTTCAGTCAATATTGCTTACCTTTGTGAATAGTCCCACATCGGGAAATGAGATGAATAGTAAAGGGTATATATTGGTTCTCTCCTTATTGGGCTTTGAATATTGTTTTGGGTTTTCCTTATTGGGCTTTGAATATTGTTTTGGGTTTTGTGGGCCTTGCATTTCTACCACACACGCGCGCGCCACGCCACGCCTCGCCTCGCCCGCACGCGCGCGCCACGCCGCAGCCGCACACCTTTTTGCTTCTCAAGCCTTCATTTTTGTACGTTTTACACATTTTGTAACGGCTGCATGCGGGTAACGGAAGTAATAACCATGCGTAACGGTCCCTTGGATTCAGCGGGGGTTACAACTTTCATCACCTATAAAAGGAGGCTTGGAGCTCATTCAGATACACACCAACGAAGAGGAACACTCTCTAAACTCTCTTCTCTTCTCTACTCTCTTACCTCCAAGAAATTTCGGCTACATTTTACTGGGCAACTATTTTCGTCTGAGCATAAGCTCTGTGACTCACGCCCGAGTGCAGAGGCCGGCCGATTCCGGGGGTTTTTACCGCTAGGGGAGAGAGGACAAACTGCGCCAGGGCGATAGGCGGGTCCTTAATCTTCTAGGGCAGTGATATCACGACTGCTCCCAATCAGGCTTGAATTTTCTAACTTTTAAATTTGTTTTAAATTTTTTTATATCTCTGTTTTGACAGCAATCTAGAAGATTAAAAATTCTTGCTGTTAAGTTAATTAGTAAATAAAAAAAAATAAATAAATAAAAAAAATAAGGGGAAATATCCATGAAGGGATAGGATCACCTTGCCTCAATCCTCTAGCACCCTTGAAATATCCATGAAGGGATTCATTCAGGGAAACTGAAAATTTAGGTGTGGAAATGCATGACATAGTCCATTTAATAAACATTTCAGAGAACCCCAGACCTTTGAGCATTTTCTCCAGAAATGTCCAACTGATGGAGTCAAAAGCCTTCCGTATATCAATGTTGAGCATTGTCCTTGGAGAAATGTGTTTTCTACCATAGTTCTTCACCAATTCATGTGCTAACAGAATATTATTTGAAATTTGTCTTCCCTTAAAATGGAAACTGCAACAGGCTTTGTCCTCGTGACTTTGTCGGAGTACTCGTTCGAGTTGAAGTTGTAGCTGGCTAATCAAGTTGGAAGTCCAATGATGGAAAGTTTGTTAATCAAGAAGATTAAGGTTGTAAAATATCCTGGATTGTCTACTCAATGGAATTAGGCCCCTAGAAGTGAGAATTTAAGGAACAAAATTACTGTTTGATATGGCGTTGTGGTAACCATTATTCTATAGTGCTTATGCTTACAAGGATGCAACAGATACGAAGAAATCAAACCAGACACGCAGGAGGTGCTCTAGTGCTCGAACACTGGCATTTATGAGATAAATGGGACCCTAGTTACTCTGAACTTTGGGCTGTACTTTTCAGCTCTTGCTCTTAAACTATTGGAACAGATGAAAACCGTGTGTTTGAAAAAGCTTTTTTGGTAACTCTCCTAGAAACTTTTTGAAGGGCAAACGCTTCGAAACTCAATAGTGAAGTTATTTATCCCGTGAAACTTACCCTCATCATTTGAAGCGTAACTGAAGCGTGTGCTTCGAGATTCATAAAGGGCTTCTCTTTTGAAGTGCGTGTTTTAGACAAGATAGAAGGATATAAAAGGATTTTTTTACTAAAATTAAAATGCCCCTTTGTTCTTTAATATGACCATGTGAGAGAGAGAGAGAGTATGTCTGTGTAATGCACGTAGCTTAGTTTAGTATAATTCGCATTATGATTCACAGTTCACATATTTACTTCTTATTCACTAATCAAGACATGAATGTACCTATTGTAAATTATCACGCCACTAAATATTATATGTTTATAATCTTTACAAATTATAAAATTAAAATAGTTAAACTCATGAGGCTTACGCATTAATTATGCTTTGAATCTTATGCCTCGCTTCATTGATAGGTCTAACGCTTCGCTTTGCACTTCTACTTTTTTTAAACATTTATTCTAGATCATGAAAATATAGTCTAAAAATGTAGCTATTTTTTATATTATATATCATATTTTTTGGGAATGCAATTTTTGCCCATGCCCATTTATACACCTGGCCCGCCCATCACTTGGCTCGTCCAAAGCCCACCCATTTAGTTAAATGGGTCTAATCGGGCGGGTTCATTTCAATCCACACTAAATGGACACTAAATGAACGGTCCTTATTCACCCATTTGCCCGCCCGCCCGTATTCCCAAACCCAAAATCCTAATAGCAATACTCGTTGTTTTAGATATTCTTGACAAACAAGTATGACAGCCGCTTAAAATGCGTCAACATCTCACAAAGAGTAACACATAGAAAATATAGATATACTCAACGTGGAAAGGATATCTTCCATTTGTGGCACTCGTCTAAAACGCATGTAATTAAACCTTCTGCTGTAGTCTGTTCAAGTATTTGCCATCGGTTATTGTGATATCGAATTACTTTGAACTTTTCATCCATGTCTTAGGTTTTTCTTTTAGATGGTAGAAAAAGGATAGGAGATGGTTGCACTTAGACCAGCCATTAACCAAAGCGGATCACTTGACCTTATATATCACTCCATGATCCTAGATAAAAAAAATTGGTCAATGAAATAAACTTTTATTCATCACCAAACTTTGAAAATGTGGAGTACATCAAGATATCAGAATCATGTCGATATGAAACTAAACCTGAAGGCAAATCACACTTACAGTTTCTCATTTTTTTCTCTTACATGATCATGAATATTTTCATTAAAAACTTTAGAAAAGATAGAAAACTTCACATATCTGAATAGCCGATCAGAAGAATGCATTTTCTGCTGAAATATCCTCAGGTTCCTCTCCTTCCATATCCAATATACAGTTGCTGATAGTGTCATTCTTTTTATTTTCTTCATGAAATCATCCCCCTTCAAGTTATTGCTATACCAGGTTATGATTTGGTTCCGGTTGCAAGATCTCCAAGCATAATTCAACCAATCCATCACTTTATTTCAAACATATGCAGAGTATTGACATTCAAAGAACAAGTGTTTGTTGGTTTCCTCTTGATGATTTGAAGCTGGACACATGACACAATGGTTTGTTTCCAGAATTCCCAATCTGCATAGTCTATCATATCAATAATCTGGACAGTGTAGCTAACCATAAGATAACTGAGTACTTTTGATAGTGTAAGCCACCCAAGTTGAGTCTGACCAAGCTACAGGGCTAGTTGATTGATTTAAAGTTTGATATATGGAAGAAATCTGAAGTATACCATTAATATGGTAGTCACAGATAGTTTTTAGCAGATTATCCATGTTTCCAAATCTTCTTAATTAAAGCCATATCTCTCACCTTAAGCAATTGTCTCCACATCCAAGAGTCATTTTTCTTTGGTTGAACTAACCATATATCAGTTTGGCGAAGATAGTTTCCATGCACTCATTTAATCCATAGTAATCTTTTTAATGTGTACCATCCATAGAATCTTTATTGCAGCTGCATAGTTTCAATTCTTTGCAAAAAAAATCCCAGTCCACCCATCTTTTTGTCTTTGCAAGTATCACTCCAGGAAACCAATCTAATTTTTTGACCCCATAAGAAAGCAGTGCAAAGTTTGTCAAATTTTTCCAACACATTGATCGGCGGAACATAATTGCTTGTCCAATAATTTTGGATCCCCAAAATAACTAATTTGATCAATTGTATTCTCCCAACTGTTGGCCTTCTTGTTTTGATGATGTTTAACAAACAATTTACCACTAATGTTGTTTGTCTAGTATTTGTGTTTTCTTATTTATTATAGACAAACAACGTAGTTGGAGGTTGGATGGAATAGCGCTTCAACGACGATATCAAATGGAGGTTGGTGGAATTGTGGAGTGAAGCAACATACAATTCAAGTTAAAGATCAAGTTCAAGCTTCATCCGCAAAGTGTACCAAGTCAAGCTTATTAAAGATCAAGATCGGCTTGGGTAATCTAGTTTAGGTTTTATATTATGTGTGTTAAGTACCTTAAGCTCAATATCATATACACACATGTATTTGGTTTCCATGTATATATAGTTATATATATACATGCATGGTTTTGGGTTTTCATGTTTTGGACATACTTGCAAAATACATGAGTTTTCACAAATGAAAATTAAATTTAAGAAATTCTTTTTCTAACATGTTTATTTTCATGTTTATAAATATTTCGTAAAGTTTCATCAAGTTTGGAATTGATTTGTTATGTTTAATGGAATTTACAAAATTATGTTTTTCGTTTGTGCATGTTCGTGCATGTTTTACAAAACAGATGAGTTTTCATAAATGAGAAGTGATATTTAAGAAATTCTTTCTTTTACATATTTATCTACATGTTTAGAAACTTTTCTCAAAATTTTACCATTTTTGGAGTTGATTTACTGTGCCCAATTGATTTTACAAAATCGTGTATGTCAGCAGATTTTCAGAAACTGTATATCTGTGTTCAAATATTTATTTCTCTCAAATGAGAAATTATTTTTCATAAATTCTTTCTCTAACATGTTCATATACATGTTTAGAACCTTATCACAAAATTTCATAATTTTTTGAATTGATTTACTATTTTTAATTGATTTTACAAAGTCAGATACGCAAATTTCCAGAATGCTGGAATTTGGGGTATTTTGGTCTTTTCAGCCTATAACGGCTAGTAACGACTAGTTTTTGATATTTTCGGTTTTTGAGAGTTTTACAAGTTTGTTGAAGGGTTTTTAAGTTTGTTTCAAGAGTTTGTTTGTGAAGAAAATTTCACAAGAGCTTGAGGAGATCATCTATTGGAGTTTGAGCAATCAACTATTCTTCCTCCATCTCTTGTCATCTATTGAGAAGTTTTCTAAACTCTTTTCTAGCTTTATATTTATTTGTTTGATTATCATCTTATTAAAGCTAGTTTTATATTGAGTTTAAATTTGATTAATCTCATTGTTACACATACCCACTTGAGCTTATTGTATTAGCATTCATAATATATTTGGGATTGTGAGAGATAGTAATATTGAGTTGAGCCTAATTGACTTCTCTCCTTGTTTAGAGAACAATCACTTTGTTTGTGAGAGATAGTAATATTGAGTTGAGCCTAATTGACTTCTCTCCTTGTTTAGAGAACAATCACTTTGTATTGAGCCTATCTTGTGAGATCACTTAGTAATACACTTGTACATCGAGAGAAGTGTATGGTGAGAGTCGGGGATCATCCCAAGAGGAGTGGCGTCGGTTGAACAACCTAGGGAGAGGTGGTATCCGAGCACTTGAGGGAGACTCGGCTAGGTCCAACACTTAGTGGGTGTAGAGTGTGATTGCATAGTGTTCGTTGTGTGAGAGTTTTCGGTGAACTTGTAAACCGAGTGTGTAGAAGTTCCGGCTTCCAAACCGGGTTGTGATAGTGGATTTCTCCCCGGGAGTGGGGAGCGGAGACGTAGGACGGAAGGTCCGAACTCCATGATCATATAGTGTGTTTGAGTGTGCTTTGGCGTTCATTTATATTTATGTTCATATCTTATATCACCATTGTGCATTGCTCATTATCATATTTATGTTCATATCTTATATTGCCATTGTCATTAGCTCATTATCTATATCATCCACTATCTTGTTTAGATTTTTTACCCTTGTGTTGTTTATATATCCTTGCATATATTTTATCATATAGGATATATCTCTTTGTTTACATTGCTTATCCTAGCTCATATATCTTGTGGTATTTCATACTTGCTAGGATAACTCATTAATTAATTTTAATTGACATATAATCAGATTAGATTAGCATAAGACCCTAATCACCCCCCTCTAGGGTCTAACAATTGGTATCAGAGCTTGGTGCTCTTTGATTTAAGGTCCAATCACCTTGAGTTAAAGATCCAAGTTAGCTTATTGTGCTAATCTAATTTTGAGCTTTATCTTGCTTGTCTTTTATATTATGGATATGCATGGTTTA